AGGAAGGGAGAGAGGGAGGGATTTCATACACAGATAGATAGATAGATAATAGATAGATTGATTCAGGCTCTGTGCTGAAAGGGTTCTCTGCCTCAAGAAGCATCACTATATAAACTCAATGAAGCAAGAGGGTTATTTTGCTTCTGTTCTATTCTGTGTCCTCAAGAATTAGGGTCCTCAGTCATTAGTGGGAATAAAGTCATGGTTCCCCCTTGTATGAAATACCGGCCTGATCTCTTTCTCACCATTGGCTCTCTTCATCTCAGATCATCCTCCTAAATCAATGAACCGATTTTCACATTGCACCAAGTCAGCGTTTTACAAACTTGGCAACATTAAGGTGTGTGGACTTCAACTCCCAGAATTCTCCAGCCAACTTAAAGTTGTCAGGTTTGAAAAACACTGACTTCATGCAATGTGTCCTGTTTGATTTCACCTTAGCATCCTCAGTGCATCTGCCTAATTGAGGCTTATTCTGTAAACCACCATTAAACAGTGGCTTAGTGCCGCCCAGCTTTCTTAGTCCCCAAAGCGTTGAAAATGCTCTACGATTCTTGAAGAATGTTTGGGGAGGAAAAATGGACTTAGTATTCAACATCTCTTTCACTCTTCTGCTTTCTCGCCTGTCTGTTTGGATGGAAGGAAACTGCTCTTGGTACCCTGATGAAATTCACTGAACTAGAAGCCAAACACCCTTTGGTCAAGAATGAATGGAGTTTCAATTTCCCCCGGGAGCTTTTACAAGTAAGTTGTGTGAATTCTGATACAGGCATCCTTGGACCTTGGTTCCTGTTGTCAGAATTAGAATGTGCAAGAACAAAAAATTGTAGTGTGGGCTCTCTTGATTCAGCTTTCAGTTCCATTTCTTCCTCTTTCTTGTCCCCCCCCCCGAGAAAATTATCATGTTTGGGGTTCCTGAGGGGGTGAACTCTCCCCAAATTCTTTGTCATACTTCTCCAAACCTTTGAGGACCCTCCTGAGTTCTCCCCTCTAGGAGAGAGAATTTATATCTCCCAGGGGAAGGCGTGGTGATAAAGCAATTTTGATCCATTCTGCTCTCCGAGCCTCTGATTCTCTTTGCTCTCTTTCAGGTGGTTGTGGAGGGCCTAATCCAGACAGACCAAGATTCCTCGCTCCTAATCTCTCACTTCCAGGAATACATGGAACAGGATGATGTCCGGTTCTTTGTGATGAAGGCAGTAGCCGAAAACCTGGGCAGCGTGATGCAGAAGGCCAAACGGGTACCCCAGTGTCCTTGTTCAAAGTGGAACTCTGTTTTTATTTATTTCTTTTTCTGGGTCATTCGATCAGGCATCCCTTTGGGGAACAATACCACTGCACCAGTTCTGTCCTGTCTCCTAGGACTTCCTTGGCATGAATGCCATGGTTGGAGGCATGCACAGTATGCCTTCTAAAATGAAAGCTCCATTGTCATCTTACCTTCCTTCTCCTCTTCTCCTTCTCCTTCTCCTTCTCCTTCTCCTTCTCCTTCTCCTTCTCCTCCTCCCCTTCCTCCTCCTCCTCCTCCATCTTCTCCTTCTCCGTCTTCTTCTCCATCATCTTCTCCATCTCCTCCTTCTCCTTCTCCTTCTCCCCTTCCTCCTCCTCCTCCATCTACTCCTTCTCCGTCTTCTTCTCCATCATCTTCTCCATCTCCTTCTCTTTGGCAATTCAAGAGGAGACCGTGAGTTCTAGGCCTCTTGTATGTAGTCATTTATTTTATTCTTTAAAAGTTTTGAAATAAATAAAACAAACAGAAAAAAAAAAGTTAAAATAGGAGGAGGAGGGCTCACTGCAAAATGGGCAAGAGAAGAACATTTTCAAGATAGGAAAGAATGGCATCATAAGGAATATTTTGTTTGTGTTTAGGGGGCAGGGGAAAAAGTTCCTTGCAGTATATTTGGTGTTCCCCAAAAGCAATTAAAATGTCTGCATCTTTTTATTTTTATTGTCTATTTTTTTGCCTACAGGCCCCATTTCCGATTTACCAAAAGAATGCCTTCACTCTCATTTCGTCCATCATCATGCCGAGTGAGGAAGGCGAGATAAAAAACTTTCTGGTGAAACATGGTGAGTGAAAGTTTCCGGTTTCTTGCATCCACCTGTCCAGCCAGAATTGTGATCTTGGCAGATGTGTCAAGTGTGAACTCAGCTTACTTCAGGGTTTAAAGAACCCATAATGTCCATCAGGCAAAAGCCAAGTCCTGGATTGTGGCTTGGTTCTGGTATCACACCAAGCCATAGTTTGTTGAAGAAGCTGCGAAGCCACCATGGCTGGCCTTGCATGTCCTACTAAGCGATTACTGTTTCCAATAGAAGAGAAGAGAATAACAGGCAACAAACTAAACCAAAAACAGACTTAAGCCAGTTTGATATAGTGGTGAAGGTGTTGGATTATGAGTAGGGAGACCCAAGTTCCAGTCCACCCACAGCCGTAGAAGCCCACTGGGTCACTTTGAGCCCATCACTCTCTCTCGGCCCAACTCGTTCCTGACGAGGTCGTTGTGGGGATCAAATTGGAGGCATCCCTTCCTGAAATCTTGGAGGAACAGCAAGATGTAAATTCAACAGAGAAAGAAGCAAGCTTAGCAAACCTACACAATAGCTTTATGCAGTGCGTGAACTCCAATCCATCTCTGATTGCCATCTCACAGGCTAAATTATTCTAGAGCATTGAGGGGATATACGAAGAGTTATTTAGATTCTTGCAGGGTTTTTTTTTCAGTTGGATCTCTCTTTCTCTTTCTCCCTCAACAGCTAATCAGGAGGAGTGGAAAGTGTCCAAGCTAAAGGTATATCTTTTGACTGAGTGAAATTATTCATTGTTGCACTTCTGTTGTCCTTGCTTAAGGGACATTTTGAGGCTGGGGGTGTTGCATGTGTGTGGAATGCCATAGAAGGGGTGGCACAACAGACCAGACAGAGGATAATAATGACCAAAATGAGCAGGTTGTGTGAATTCAGTTGCTGGGTCTGATGTGTGAACAGAGCTGGGAAAGAAGAGATTTTTCAACAAAGCGGGTATGGCATGACATCCTCTCCGGAGCATCTCAAGAACTAGGATGTAATTTGATGGACACTTGGCTTTCCCATTGAAGCCTGCATGATAGTTCATTCCAAAGGCTGCTTTGCTTCTTTCTCCTTAATTTTCTTTCTTTTTTTTCAGGAACACAGGCGGGCCTTCGAGAGGATGTGGCTTGGATTCCTGAAGTACAAGGTGGGCATTGAAAATCTTGAAGGGCTGACTGTGGGGTTAAGGTCACACCCAAGTTATCCATCTAGGCCTGGCCTCAAGTGCACCTTCATCAGGAGAGATCAGAATGTTTCTTCCTAGAAAGATATGAATATAGAAGGAATTCACCTAGCATTCCACCTTTGCATCAGACCACGCGTGAAGGAAATGCACTTGACTGCCGCATCCGCTCCCCCTACCTAACGTGGCCCCCCTTCTCTCTCTCTCCCTTTGCAGTTACCTGGAAGTCTCTACAAAAAAGTGTTGGTCATCCTGCATGACTCCATCTTGCCCCACCTGAATGAGCCCACCCTCTTGATGGATTTCTTGACGGTCGCTTACGATGTTGGTGAGTGGTGGTGTGAAGGAATGTAGGGTTGACCTTGGGCTTAGGGAAGGAACAATCGAGCAGAAAAGATGACACAGTCCTGAGAAAGAGGGAAACACGAAAAAGAAATTCAGAATAACCCTGTCTTGATTTTGTTAATATGAGATGGATCAGAGAGGAACTTGGACAAATTTAAGATTGATGTCAACCCTTTCAAGATGGGCTAGGTCAAGAAATGGGCATGGAAGGGATTCCAGGAATGTTCTTTATGATGGTAAGGTAGAATAACCGAATCTGAAAGCTTGGTCTTTCTCCCATCTTATACTAAACAAAACCTAGGTGGGGTTTCTCATGACTGCGTCATCTTTCCTGTGAGCATCCCTTGAATGGCACGTTCATTCCATCTCAATGCCCAAGGTCGCCCCTATATTCCTCTAGAGGTGGGAACAGGCCTCCTGGAGGGATTCTTCAACGTTGGCATCCAACCACTGGGGCATCTCCCTCTTGCATGTGGTTTGGGTGAACTGTGGACATCTAGCATCACACGTGGTGGGTTGGAATGTAATTGGTGGCTCTGCTGGGTCATCTGATGGCTAGCTGTAACTCATTTCTTATGTCACCCTGCTCTGTGCTTCTCCTTCAGGTGGAGCCATCAGCCTTCTTGCGTTAAATGGACTGTTTGTTCTGATCCTCCAACATAATTTGTAAGTTCCTTAGCAAGTCCACCGTCCTGCAAAGTGGACTGTGTTCCTCAGCCAAAGGCTTCAGTTCCCCAATCATCCATTCATACATTACAGATCGTTTTTAGGCCAGCTTTGCCCAGCCAGGAGTCTTCCAGATGTTTGGGGACTGTGATTTCTAGCCAGCATGGCCTTTGCAGACTCCACATATCTGGAGAGCATCTTTTCAGAGGCAGAGAGAGACAAGTCAGGTTCAACCACTGCCGTCTTACAAAACTAGATACTACTTCTGATCTAGGGTAGAGTTTTTCGAGCTTTGTTCCTTCAAATCCTAGGGTTCTGGGATAGCCTAAGTGGGGAAGAACCACTTGAACGCAGCCAATATTTTATCATTAGAGCTTGCCTCCTGGTCAGGGGTTCCCCCAATTTTTCAAATAACTAACAGGTTCTGTAGCCTGAGAAAGGTGAAACCCCTGATCTAGCCTGCTAGCCACCTTCCCTTTCATATTTGATGAAGCTACAAGGCAGTTGAGAGCTACTCTCTTAAACCTGGTCTCCTTTGAGTCTCTTTTTTGAAAGTTGGGAAACCTCTGGTTAGCTATAACTATGATTCATGGGGGGGAAAGTCAGCAACTTTACAAACTCTGGTTTGAAGGTTGTACTATAGTTGAGGTTAGCTAAACATGGTCCGAGTTAGGACAAAGCAACAGGTTTCAGTTAGTTAAATTTGCTATGTATGGTTGCTCGCACTGAAATCATTGGCTAGGATTTACAGATCTACTTCGTTGAGAACAAGGTAGCCCACTTTCACTGTTTCTGTTTCTTTCTGATGTCCCAACACGCCCAGCTACTCTTGAGTATGAGAATGTCCTAATGATCAGAACAAATGGGAATGAAGTCATGACTTTCTTCTGCCAAAAAAAAGGGACTATTTTCTCAGGGCAAGACCTTTGGAACCCAGCTAATGACTTTCTTGAAGTAAAACAAAACAAGAACCCTTTTTCTTTGCTTGTTATAGTTTATAGTCCAGGCATATAAATTCATAGGTGATTATTAATTAATCTCTGTTAAATCCTAGAGGATACTCCATTAATCATATTTTTTTAGTCCATAAGTGATTATCGTGTAAATTACCTCTTATTATTCATTTTGGTGGGTTCATCATAGTTTCAGAACTTCACTCTTAGGTGTTTCCTCTTGAATGCCAAACCCCCCTAGGCAGAGACGTATATTGGGGGGGGGGGTGTCAGATGACACAAGTGGCCCCATGATGTCACTACCATATCCCAAACTCCAACCTTTTTCTACACACGTGTGTCATGGCATTGTCCACCCGTATAAACAGGACAGTTTGACCTCCTGGTGAGCATTGTTGCATCCTAAATGCTGCCGAAGCATAAATTATCCAATTGTGAATTTGGGACAAATCTAAATAATTCTTTGAGTTAAGCAGGTGTTCTGTTTTTGTTTTTGTAGGGAATATCCAGATTTCTACACCAAACTCTACAGTCTTCTGGACCCCTCCATCTTCCACGTAAAATACCGGGCCCGATTTTTCCGTTTGTTGGACATGTTCTTATCGTCTTCGTAAGTAAAGGTTTGATGGAGCACCCAAGAACTGCTTCATATCCCATTGCCCATTAATAGCCCATTAAGGTCCCATTAATAACCCAGGTGGAGAGTTTGTTTCCTTGTCATCTCCAGCCCGGCCCCTGGAAAAAATTTTTTTACTGTTAAACAAAGAATAAATGAGACGTGTTTTGTGCATTTGTAGCTGAAAGGAGACAGTAATTCTGATGATTCTGCAACCTTGTTTATTTGTTTTGTTTAAGGAAGAGGCTGTGAATTGAACCTGGAATTTCTATGCATATAAAGAACAGATAGTCCTCAGTTAGCGGCTGCATTTGGGACCGGCAACTTGGTTGTTAAGCAAAGCGGTCGCTAAGTGAAACTGCAGCTGTGCTTCTGATTGTCCTTCAGCTTTCCTTTCCTTTGCAGGCCTACTTTATGGTCCATGCGAGGATTGGTCATAAAATTACTTTTTCATTACTGTTGTAATTGCGAACGGTTGCTAAACAAGGCAGTCGCTAAATGAGAACTACCTGTGGTGGCTTTATCATTCAGTGCTGACCTTTCCTGAACAGAAAGGGAGTTTTTTTAGGCGGTTCATGCTAACGGTGTGGACTTGTGCGGGTCATGGGTGGAAAATAGCTTTCTCTTAGTGTCTCTTCTGCTTCCAACAGACACTTGCCAGCATATCTGGTGGCAGCGTTTGCGAAACGCCTCTCCCGCCTGGCACTCACTGCCCCTCCTGATGGCTTGCTGATTGTCATTCCATTTATCTGTAACCTCTTGAGGAGGCATCCATCTTGCCTGGTGCTCATCCACAAGCCCAACAGCCTTGCAGGTGAGAGAGAAACACAGCTCAGAAAGGCTGTTTCCACTAGCTCAGTGGAGGTTGACTTAACTTTGAGGGGAAAGAGTGGAACCCACAAGTGCATAGACACAATCTGGATTGTATCTGCTCAAGGGTCTGCTGGATTGGTTCTCCAAGGAGAACCACTGGCTGGCTGGCTTCACCCCAGTTTTGGTTGCTCATTGCACAGGGCAGGTCCACACCGATCTTTGTGACTGGTTTCTATCTCAGTGGTTCCCCCCACTATGGGTGCATGAAGAATGTTTCTTCAGAAATGTGGGTTTGAGAAGACGTGCTCATCTCTCTCTTGTGATCACGGATGGCAAGGAGAAGGCCTCATCCCACAGAGCTACAAAGTTGACCTTGATGGTTTATTCTGGTTTTCTCTCTTTTATCTTCTTTAGAGATGTCAGAGGATCCTTATAAGATGGATGAAAAAGAGCCCTTGGAAAGCAAGGCTTTGGAGAGCTCCTTGTGGGAAATAAAAGTATGTTTTCATCAGAGGGGAGCCTAAGGGTTTGGTGGAATTCTAGCTGCACACTGTTTTAAAAAATCCATGAGGGAGGAAGATGGGTGTAGCTGTTGACATCTCCCCCAGCACGAACAGCTATGCCGTTGGCAGTCACTTGATCTGCAGCCGTTGACAGCTGCTCCTATTTATTTCCATGCAACTTGAGATAGAATTGATGGCACAAGGAACCAGCCAGGTTTAGAAAAGATCATTGGCAACCCATGGAATCTGTAACCCCCCCAGGATGAAGGCAGTTGGGTCTGTGGTTTCACGGCCCAGTGCGGAAAGAACTTAGGTAACATCTGGCAATTTGAGAAGGATTTTGAAGCATTCCTTGGCACATGCTCTCTGCAAACTCTTGCTTCATCTCTGTGAAGGAAGCTGGAATTGATGTACCTACGTTACCAAAGTGAGGACCGTGAGAAGATGGGGAGGCTGTCCTGGGGATTGAGCTGGAATGACAGCTCTTTCTCAGGGCTTTAAATATAAGTCAGCTGTTTCTTTCGTTCTCCTTCTCTAGACGCTGCAGAAGCATTATCATCCTGATGTTGCCAGTGCCGCGGCTGAAATTAACCTTCCTCTATCTGAGATGGAACAGGATTTGTCTGAGACCCTAGAATTGACAGCTTTTGAGGTATCTATGTCCATATAAAGCCTGGGGACAAGCCTTCTCCACCCTGGGGCCCTTTCCAGATGAGTGGTCCAACCTCCTCCAGTTCACAGTAGTAGCCACGCTGGCTGGGGAATTCTGGAAGTTGAAGTCGGAGATTTGAATTGATGGCCTTTGTGGTATGTATGCCCATATATGTGTGCCCGTGTATCTATGCCCATATAAGGCATGGGGACAAGACTTCTCCACCCGGGGGCCCCTCCAGATGTGAGATCCAAACTCCTACAGTTCTCAGCAGTAACCATGCCGGCTGGGGAATTCTGGGAGTTGAAGTTTGACTCTCTGAAAGTTTGTCCAGATGAAGGAAGGAAGGAAGACTGGCGTAGAAGCTAATGACAATCTCTTTATGTTACTCTTTAAGCACATGTGAGAAACCTGTGACCATCAGATAATCTTAAATTACAGCTCACTTTTGACTGGAGGGATTAGGAGACGTATCGCAGCAATATTTGAAGGGTCACATGTTCCTAACCCTACTTCCAATCCTTGTGTTGGTGGTACATAACTCTTCTGACAGCCTCATTGAGTAGGACAGTTAAAAACCAATTGGGAAATCCATGTTGATTTTTCCTCATTTTTTAAAAAAATCCTTAAATGGCAACAATAGCAGCAGGTGTCTAATAACACTTCCCTGATTTCAGTTCAGTGCTGTTTTTTCAAATACAGTCTGGGAAAATTACAGACACAGCCAAGCTGCTATTGATCACTGGGGAAAAAGAAACTGAGCAAAAAAGAGTGAGTCAAAATGGAAAATATATTGATTTCTTTTTTTTCCCCCCCTCTCTTTCTCTCTCTCTCTCTCTCTCCCCCAAGATATTTGATAGGGATATTAAGAAAGAAACAAAGGACGTTCCATTGGAATATCAGCAAGCCCGGGGTCTCTTCGGGAAAAAGGACGATATCTTTGCGGAATACTTTTCGCTGGAATGACTCTGGGGGTAACATAGGACAATAAAGACCTTTTTTTCTTTTTAAATTTAAAGTCTTATGCACTTCAAGCCGTTGGCTGGTGGGTGTGTCCCACTGAAAGCAGATCCCGTTAGGCTGGGTGCAAGAAACTTAAGATGGCATGAAATGGACTGTATTACAAGGGCG